TTTGTATTTTTTTTCTATCGTTTGGTGTTGTTCTTAACCTTTTTTCTAACTTTGGTATTTTGCTTTACAGGTTGCTTTCACTTGTTATTTGTTTTGGCTTGGTTGTTTACTCGATGTTCCAAATTGTATTTATAGTTTTTTTTTATGCTTTATTGGTTTGCTCAAGTTGTACATATAAGGAATTATTGTTCCTCGATCAATAAATCGACACCTAGCAAAGCAGGGCACCACTACAGTATTATTGAAAGGAAGCTCCAAAGGAGTTCCTACATTAAACCACATTTATACCACCATATTTGCACACCACGTGTACTAATTGGAGGCTTGAAATGGTGCCTGTTGAGTGCATTTTGCAAGTGCCTTTTCAACATCCAAAAGAGTCTTTCATTGTGCCAATCTTTTACGAATCCAGTGGTTATTATAAGGATTATTTCGACACTAGTGCCAATCTTTTACCAATATGTGCCAATCGGGTGATTGGATGATTGAACAGAATGAGGCCTAGGTGAGAAGGAAAATAAGAGGAACTTGAGGCAAAAAAGAGCCACTAGTGCCATGAAGTAGAGGGGCACCACCGCTACTAGAGTTGATGCGCTGTCTGGCATCGAGTTATGGAGGAAGGGGACGACCATGACAATGGCAGTGAACAGCCGATAAGGATGGTTGTACCAGTTTTTGTTCAACAATTCGATAAGTGATTATCGACTAACCCTCTGTGTTCACAGTTGGACGATGTGACGATAGCTCCACAACCACCGAAAGGTCCTCCTCAGACTCATAGTGCTAACGAGCCATCGGTAAGATCAGTTCTAATAGTTTGGTTTCACCATTTCTATTTGTGTTTATCGAGTAACATAGTTATTTCTGTTATTGCAATTGATAGAGGTGACGAAAGCTCTTGAACTATCGAGCGGTACGGCTCAACCGTACAGTCTGAATGAGCCATCGGTAAGGAAATAAAAATTATAACGATTAAGTTCAACGATGATTATTGAATAGCACAGTAATAACAGTATATGGTCTTGCAGTATAACCCATGCGAGAAAGTCAATGTCGGAGTAGTCACGATACGTGAGCTACGACAGGTCATGCGCAGGCATGAAAAGGAGATGTGGGAGCTGAAGGCTTCAATTTAGTCATTGACTCTAGCAATGCAGATGATGGAGGACCATATTGTTTGTCGAATTCTAGACGGCCTAAAATCACAAGTACGTTATTCTATCTTTGCTCATATAAAATTGACTTACTTTAAGCAAGTGTAGTCTAATATTTTATTACCTGTTTATGGTTTATGGTATTTTTGGATCTAACAGAATTTCCTATTTGACTCTTTCTATAGGGTGGTGCTTCATCGCATGCTGATGGTGACGAAAGCTCTTGAACGATCGAGCGGTACGGCTCAACCGTACAGTCTGAATGAGCCATCGGTAAGGAAATTAAAATTATAACGATTAATGTTCAACGATGATTATTGAATAGCACAGTAATAACAGTATATGGTCTTGCAGTTAACCCATGCGAGAAAAGTCAATGTCGGAGTAGTCACGATACGTGAGCTACGACAGGTCATGCGCAGGCATGAAAAGGAGATGTGGGAGCTGAAGGCTTCAATTTAGTCATTGACTCTAGCAATGCAGATGATGGAGACCATATCGTTTGTCGAATTCTAGACGGCCTAAAATCACAAGTACGTTATTCTATCTTTGCTCATATAAAATTGACTTACTTTAAGCAAGTGTAGTCTAATATTTTATTACCTGTTTATGGTTTATGGTATTTTTGGATCTAACAGAATTTCATATTTGACTCTTTCTATAGGGTGGTGCTTCATCGCATGCTGATGGTGACGACCACAATGGTGCTGATGATCAGCAACACGATGAACCTAGTGTTCACATGCACCATGACGTTGTTACTGATGATGGAGAGAATGTTGCTACTAGCGGAAAGAATGTTGCTGCAGTCGATTCGCGATATCGATCTATCTGCGGAGGAAGAGGGGACCATCACTCAGTAAGTTGAAGGGGACCATCTCCTAAAGCCGATGCAGCAGTTGAGGCAACAGTCGAATGGGAACCTTACATTAGTTAAGGCTGAAGGGGACCATCTTCATCAGATGACTCATGAAGGCAGCATGTCACGAGTGTAGTCACCAGATGTGTCTGATGTCGATCATTAGGTAGCACTAATTTCACACCCAACTGAATGGGCACAGGTGAAAATGGCCAGTAAATACATGGTAAGCCCGTATGTGGACCCGTCAGTGAGCCAGCGGGATGTTAAGATGTCAATGGTGGAAAGGTACGAAGCTTTTGAGAAAGACGAGTGTGCGAGGTAAGTTGATAAATAATATTGCAAATATTGTTTTCGTATGGGACATTAATCCACCAAGCATTTTGAAATTCAGTCTATTACATGTGCAAGCATAATGTCGGGATCGATAAGGGATCAAGGGGCTAACTTTTTCCAAACATTAGAGGACCCTAAAGAGCAAATGACAAGATAACAAATAGACACATGCTCAGCGTACTTTGTAATGAATGACAGGGCCAAAGTCAAGAATGTACAACACCTGTGCATGCGTCATTGATACTATATTCTTTGTAAGTTTATTTGCAAATTTTTCAATTCTGAAAATACTAATCTTCTTGATTGCATAAAGTGTAAGCTAATGTATATATTTTCCACAAGACACCATCCGGATGCTCACACCACCTTTCCCACTGAGGCTAGCTGTTCCACGATGGAAGTTCCTGATGAGGTGTGGGGGTACATGGAGGGTACATACGGTAAAAAATGGGAAGATGTCGATTTCATCCTCGCCCCTTGCAATGTGGGCGGCCATTGGGTGGTAGCGAAGATCGAATTAGTCAGGTAGTTGATCAAGGTTGTGGACTCTGCAAGAACTTCGGCTATTAAGGATAACAGAGTGCGTGTGGCTTAGATGACACCCCTGACGACAATGCTCCCAATCATCTGCCACAAAAGCCGGTTATTTCAACAAAACACGTTGGAAGACACGAGGTTTGACACCGATGTCACTGAAAATTCATTTGCTTAAAGCTAAAGTGCATCGTCAGAATGATAGTGTCAGCTGCGGTATGTTCACCATTGGGTACATTGACGACACCTTGCAATCGAAACCGATCAGAATTAAGCAGAATATGATTACTAAATTGCGTCGTCAATACGCTGTGGAAATTTTTGCCAACGAGTTTAGATAGCAAACCCTAAACCCTCCACCATAACATATCCTGAGTAGTATTTAGTTTTTTTGTATGCAATTAATTATTAATTTTAATAATATTTTACATTTTAGACATGGGTTTTTCTCTATTCAGGCACAGTAAGTGCAATGATCATTAGCTAATGTAAATTAAAATCCCAAGGAAATTGTGGCAAATAACCATCCTCATAAAGCTTATTTCACAAATAATAATACAACCACGTGGCGAGTCACTGTATTGGGGAATGGCTTGTCACAGCATTAAGGCATGGCATGTCACCGCATTCGACAGCCCATTGGGGCATGGCTTGTCACACAACTAGGCATGGCGTGTCACTACATTGGGGCATAGAGTGTCACCGCATTCGAGCATGGCTTGTCACCTATCATTGGGGCATGGCTTGTCACTGCATGAGACATGGCGTGTCACCGCATTGGAGCATGACGTGTCACCGCATTGGGGTATGGCTGTCACTGCACTAGGGCATGGCGTGTCACCGCATTAGGGCATGACTTGTTACCGCATTCGGGCATGGCTTGTCATCGCACTGGGCATGACGTGTCACCTGTATTTGGGCATGGCTTGTCACCCCACTAGGGCATGGCTTGTCACTGCACTAGGGCATGGTGTGTCACCCCATTGGGGCATGGGGTGTCATCGCATTCGAGCATGGCTTGTTACCCCACTAAGGCATGGCTTGTCACCGTATTGAGGCATCGCGTGTCACCGCATTAGGGCATGAAGTGTCACAGCATTGGGGCATGGCGTGTCAACGCATTAGGGCATGGCATGTCACCCCACTGGGGCATGGCTTGTCACCACACTGGGGCATGGCTTGTCATCGTACTAGGGTTAGGCGTGTCACCACAATGGGGCATGGCATGTCACCGCATTGGGGCATGGCTTATCACCACATGGGCATGGCTTGTCACCCCATTGGGGCATGGCATGTCACTGCACTAGGCATGCATATCACCCTGACTAACATAACAACTCAGCGTGTGACCTGATAACTCTCATTTCATTCAGCGTAACCCGATAAATTTGGTAGCAATCACCGTGTCATGCCATATATCTAGTAGCACTCAGAGTGTGACCCCATAAACCAAAATCTTTTGACCGTTACAAGGACTTCTAACGTCTCTTGACATTTACAAATGCATACATAGTCGTTAATTTAATTTTAACTATAAAACCACAATCAAATTCTGCCTAATTTAAATTATGTAGTCATTTGATATTATTTTATTTTAATGTAATACAAGTTATTAATATAAAATTGACTTCATACATGAAATTGTTACAAATTTGATTTTTACAGAAAGATAAATCAAACTTAATTTTTACCTAAATGTAAAATTAATTTAATTTAAATAGTCTAAAATCAAATAATCGAGTAAGAAACACAATTCTGAATGAATGTAAGTAACTGCAAGATGAAATTTTGAGAAAGGTATTGCACATAGCTCACAGATTTAGTTACGCCGACAACTTATCTTCTTCCAAAAGACACCCAACGTTTTCAAACTTTATCCTTCGCATTGGACAGTTGTTGCGTGTGTAATCGGTTTGCTTGCAAGTTGAACATGCTTTCAGTCGTCGCACTCGTGGAGGTGCCAATTGAGTTGGAGCTGGTGCCGGTGTTGTGAATGGAACTATAAATGAGGATGGGTAATTTTATCTATTATGCCCGTACCTATTGCATTGTGAACATCTCCGTGCTCGACTGCCTTCACCAGCTGATGGAATCTTTCTTCTCCTAGGTCTTCCCGCTTAGCATCGCCAAGCTGGTGGCAACACCACAATTTGTTTCATATGAAGGGGGATGTCCCACTCACTAGGATGGCCTATCGGGGGAATGGACCCTGCATAACCCTCAACCAAAATGATTGTCTTGTAATAGTCAGCGCAGAATTCAACGGCTTCATGTTTGCATTTACTGAAAAATACAACAAACTCAATATTCAAGCATAATGTAAATGCTATGTCAATTAGGTTCAAATAACAAAAAAGAGCAAAAAGATATTCTGACCTTATTGCTGCAATGGCATGGCTGCATGGAAGCAAATTTGTTTGGAACTCACAACATGAACACGTATTCTTCGACAGGTTTACAAGTCCGTCCATCTTCCTGTCTTTAACTTCGAACTCCACTCGGTTGATAGGTTTAACTACAAAGCAATGTGCATCATTGATTAATGCATGTAACTCAATCTTGTCCATTTTTGAGTTTACCCTAACAACTTCTTCAACCAGCTTCTTCAAGCCCTCAAACGACAAATCACCCCTAACCCCTCGCATTCGTGAGTCACCACCCTTGTAAATGCCATCAACCCATTGACCACCATGTCTTATCACAAGTCACATAATTGGAACCCCACTGTAATTTTGAAAACATCAAATTTGTCAATCATTTTACACATTACATGCCGTGTTTTATAATTTGTTTGTCATGTTGTTACACGTTATTTTTCAACTATGTTACACGCCACGCTGAAAAATGTTACACGCAAGTTCAAAAATTGTTACACGCCATGTTCACTACGTGTTACATGCCCTGTGCTAACACATGTTATTTCAATATATTTTTAACACGCCATCTGCTTTATGGATGCATGGCGTGTAACAACTCTAGGCAGTGTTTGTAATCCATGTTCTTATTTACACAACAAGTTTCAAAAATTTATCTATTGCAATAATAAACCCAATAACATACCTTGATGTCATCTCTACAGAGAGACCATGGTCTGTTTATCGACGACAATATGGCTAGATGCCAAAAGATAGACCACAGCACGATGACAATAGTGCTCAACAGAGAGTTGACAAAGCTCATATAGTTCAGAGAGTTAAGCAACCTGATGACAATGGTGCTTAACAGAGAGTTATTAGAGTTGATACAGTTCAGAGAGTTGAGAGAGAAAGATGAGCAACCTTAAAGAGTTGAGTATTTATTTCTATTTTCTCTTTGACGGGAGGGAGATATCGGGAACTTTTTCCCATTATGTTTTTAAGGGCATTTTGGTCTACTCATACTTCTTAGTGGCTAAAAACAGATAAGTTTATGTGGCATGTTATTTTTGAAATCACCTTATGCCGAGGCCTTTTTCTCACAATTTCCTCTTATTATTTTAATTTACATTTGCTTTCAAGATTCTCCTTTCTTCTATCTTCAAGGTTCGTTTTTGTTTTGTTTTTTCTTTCACTTTCTGTTATCTCTTAACTTGAAGTAATGTTGGTAGAAAATTCTAGAAGACACTTATAAAAAGCACATATATCATCAATTGATTTTATTATCCTTTATCCATCCATTTTTATTTGGTTCAGGTTATTAAATTTCTATTTGCTCTTTTCTTATTTTACTCTTACTGTGTAGTTGTTGTTGTTGTTTTTTTTATAATTTCTAACTGTTCATAATAATTCCAATAATTAATTTTGATATTTTTATTTTTCAATTTTATTCGTACAAATGTTATTGGATCATATTGCTTTGGTTAATTGTTCCATGAGATGTTTTTTATAGATCATTTTATAGAACATTCTATTAACTTTAAATCAACAACAAACCAGACTATAATTGCTAATTGTAAAAGGCTCTTGGCTTAACACTTAGCAACATAAGAGAGATTTATGTGAAAGGTCAAGCAATATTAACTGTAAACACTTTATATATGCTATGCATATCAATCATATCTAAAAAATAAAAATAAAAAAAATCCAAATTGGGAGCATATATATGAGCAGAAAAAAATAATAATTATCTTTAGTAATATTTACAAGCTATACTCTTATGTTTTCTCAAACACAATTCAAACAATAAATGTAAAATACATTAGTAGGACTTTTTTTTAAAAGGTATTATTATTATTATTATTATTATTATTATTATTATTATTATTATTAAGTAACATGTGAGAGAACGAAATTGAAAATTATAGTAAAGTAAGAAAATTATGGGTACATGGGATGCAAGTTGCTATAGCTATTGCAATGAGTAGGATTTTGGAAAGAGAAACACTTCAAAATTTTACATGTTTTCTTATGAAATTTCCACTATCCTCTCCCAACATAAAACTCCTTATAAGAATTTTGAAAAGAGACAATAGAAAGGTCCTGTAATACATTGATGTTTCAGAATGGATGACGTTATTCAAAGTTTTATCATACTTTTTACGGTATTCTGCCTTTGTATGATGCATATCAATCTCGACCCATGTAATAACAAGCCTGCTTTGTGCAGTGTCAGCCATTCCTAGACCTTTCATTGCCTTCCGAAACTTTGCAATACTTTCAGCACATCTTAATATAGTTTTAAGGGCAAAGTCTAAACTTTTATGTGCTTCATCTTTTATTGCCTTTTCTAAGGGTTTTTGTACATCTTTTGGTAACATATACTAACAGTAGCAAGGTGTGCCCACCATGTTGACTTTATTGTCAAGACCTATAAGTGAGCGTTATAAGAAGCTTGTCTTGATGTGTCATGAGGGGTGGGGAGCTCTATGTTCTGGAATTATTGACACAGTTAAGGTTTGATTGAGTTTGTAATGGGGAGACTTTTTAATTTGTCATGGATATATATATTAAGTAGACCTACTATCAACAAAAAATTTCAATCTTTGGAGCCTTAAGCCTAACCCACATAGCCATTCATATATTATCGGGGGTTAAAAGAGGAAGTTTAATAGGACTTAAGAAAATAATTAGTCAAGTGCAAGGCATTAAGAGTGTTTTCTCCAAATAATCTCTTTTTAAAAAGTGAAGCAAGCTATTTAGTAGCGATAATAATTTTTTTTTCCTATGAAAGGTGCGTTACAACAAATGAAATAAATAATAATAATAATAATAATTAAACAAAAAAATACAAAAGAAAACAATATAAAGAAAACAAACACAATATTGTTGTAATGAAAACTTACTTGTTCAAAGAAATTTTAGAAAAGAGCCTTTGAGAATTGATTATGAATTTCTATAAAACTATTATCTTAGATTTATAGACTTTAAGAATTATTTTCTAGTAGGAATCTAACTCTTTAAATTTTCTCATCAAATACTTTTCTACATCTAATTACTTTTCTACATATATCTCTGCTTATTTGATAAATAAGTATACAAAAGATTTAATTAGCTAGTCTCAAATACACTCGTAAAACAAAAAGAAAGAAACATTCGAGTTGAGTAGTTGTCAAGTTGGCAAATTATGACACTTGGCTCAAAGGCAACTTTTTGTCAAAGAACCATCTTACTAGAGCTTTTCAATTCCATCCATGATATTGGATAAAACATGAATCATTGCATTTGGCAATAATATTTAATTATTCAATGTAAATATAGTACTTTTATTTTTAAATATTCTAATTATCTTTTCAAAAAATTTACATTCCTTTCAAAGGGTAAAAAAAAAAAAATCTGTTTTGTGCCATAATATTTGTTTTCTTGCAAAGTTGATCTTTTTTTCTATTTACAAGTTGTATTGTATCCCCCTAACTTTACACATGAAAAATTTCTAAATCTTATAATAAAAAAATTTTCATGTAGGGGCAACAAACAAGAATATATATATATTTTAAAATAAATTAAGTACTAATGATTTTGGATCACAAGAAAGCAATTTAAAATTTTTCTTATGGTCCTCTAAAAAGAAAGTAAGAAAACCACTTTCTTACTCTAAATATATGCATATGGTGTTATTGTGTAAGGCATTACTGTATAAAGTGTTACTACCTAAAGTGTTATAACAGAAGATGTATTGCCTAAAGCATTGTTGTTTAAGATATTATGATGCAAAGTGTTACAACACATAGCGTTATAGCATAAGGTGTTACCATGCATTGCGTTATAGTACAAAATAAAACTTTTCCCTAAATCAATGTATAAGAACTTCTTAAATAAAAATTCTTATGAAGAGGGTAAAATGTAAATGCCCAATTTTGTCTAACAATCATTTTTGAAGTATTGTATTATAGAAAAATTACATCAGAAGTGTTCTAAGCTTAAAAATGCCCAAGGGTGTTCAAAGCGTAAAAGCGCCTAAAAACGTTCCAAGTGTGGAAGTGCTTAAGGTGTTTCAAGAGTGGAACTGCCCAAGGGCATTCCAAGTACAGAAGCACTTAAGGGTGTTTCAAAGGTAGAAACATCCAAGAGGCATTCCAAGCACAAAAGCGCCCAGGGGTGTTCTAAGTGCGAAAGTGCCTAAGAACGTTCATAGTGCAAAAATGCCTAGATGTGTTTCAAGAGTGGAAGCACCCAAGGGTGTTCCAAGCACTAAAGCACCTAAGGGTGTTCCAAGTGTGAAAACACCAAAGAACAAGCATGGGACAACTGTTTCTATGAGAAGTGAAAGTAACTTAGAACAAGTGGTAAGGTTCATAAGTTACCTTCACATTCGAGATATTTTAGAAAGCTTGGTTTAATGGCTCAGATATTAAAATAGTTAAGAGGACTTCCTTTTAACCTTTTTTGAAGTACATGTGGTGCACTATCAAGTGTCACTACTCCATTATCCAAAACTTACGCTCACTACCCAACTACATGGTTGTTCTTTTAATATCCCATAAATCATTTTTTAACTTCTCCCACGATTGAACAAGTTCTCCTAACTACTCCTAAAAAAGTGTTCTTATTCAATGTAAATATAAAGGCTTTGGAAGTTGGGAGCCAATTAGAAATCATTAGAAATCCAATAGAGATTATTTTGAAAAGCTCTCTCAATACTCCTTCAAATATTCATTTTGTTTAACATTTTCCATTTGTCGTAATCCTTTGTTTCCTCTACTTTTCTTATCCCTCACCACCTGCCACCAAAGCACTTATGCTTCAAAGACTACTCTAGTTTTCTCTTTGCTGCCTCTAACTCATTCCAATTCACTGATAACAACATGTCCTCTCTCCCTACCAAAAAAAACCCTCCACAATTAGCTATCTGACATATGTAATGGTAAAGTTTAAAATCTTTGGGTAGACTTGGCAATTCATGTTCTCGTGTCATAAATGTGTTAAACAGGATTAGACACAAAACACGACATGAATAATTTTCATGTCTTAAACCTAAAATATGTATACGTATATGTTTAATAACCGTGTAACGTGATATGATACAATTAACACGTTTATTAAATGTGTCAATATACGACACTACATGATTAATAACATGAAGAGCACGTTTAACATGATTAAATAAAAATATTTATAATTAAATATAATTTTATTATTAAAGTTAAATTCAATAATTATAAAAACAATTATAACAAAATAAAATAATAATAACATCAAATAGAATAAAATTTAATATAAATAACATACAT